TCATGGGAGGGGGGGTGAGCTATATATATACATATATGGAGGGGTATATAGGGATATGTAGGGATATCTAGGGTTCTATATAAGCTATTACTCGGTTTTGGGGGTTTGGATTCAGGGTTCTCATGTGCAGTACATACATAGACAGATATTCAGGGGTTGTGGCTTTTCGGGATGCCCAACTACTTGCTGCCATCCAATGTTGCATGCTGGGTTTGATGAACGTTTGTAAGCCCTAAACCCACAACCCTAAAACCCAAAACCCTAAAACCTAAACCTGAACCCGAAACCCTACCATGGCCATGTATCAGAGTTTATCGCTTATGAGGATCAGCTTTTTGGGTGTCGGGGAGGAAGTTTCTCAAAAAACGCCGGCCCTTACGCACCCTGAAGGCACATGAGGATTATAAGGGGACTGCGGGGGTCCCCACTGGGGATTCACGGGGCTCTGAAAGGCACTCTGAGGTGCTCAGGCCTGGTGGAAGGGCTTTAAACAGCCGATGGTTTCGGGTTTAGGGTTTACGCTCCAGTCGTCAGGGCCTCTCAAAGCTTCGCCTACCAGGAAGCGGAGGTTGGCTAGGCTCCGAAGTTTCACGCCCGGTGAACTGAATATTGTGGTAGGGCGCCAAGACCGCGGATGGATACAGAGGAGTGGGAATTCAAGGTGGCAGAGGAGAAAGGTTGGGTGGATGCCTGCGGACAAGCAGGATATAGAACAACACGCCGATTCTGGGTGTTGGGTTCAGTGATGTGCCTTCGCGGCAGAACGCCCTAAACCACAACCCTGAACCCTAAACCCTAAACGCCAAATGCCAAACCCTGAACCCTGAACCCTAAACCTCAAATCCTGAACCCTAAGCGCTAAACCCCAAAACCCCAAACCCTTATTCCTGAACCCCCCGAGCCAGGGAACTCCAAGTGCTCTGAAACATAGGCATCTGGAATAGCCTTTGCTGTCGGGTTTGGGATTTGGGGTTTGGGGGTTTATATGTGGGGTTTGCGTGGGGCTTGGGGTGCGCCGTCGGGCCCAGGACCCAGGATCTAAGAGTTTATATAGGGTCCGCAGAGGGCTCAGAGTGCAAAGTTTAGGGTTTCGGGTCTGGACTTTGGGGGTTAGAGTCTGGGCTTTGTGTGGCTGCACATGCAACCTGCCAGACTCAAGTAGTATTTGTACCAGAGGTGGCACCCAACAAAGAGCTACAATTATGCACTCCCCAACACAGAGATGAAACCTGAAAAGGGTTTCCTTGTAGCTTACTGCCAGTTTCTTGGGTTTCGAGGGGCGGGTTGCAAAGCCTCGAACAGAGTCAAAAAATGTTACACGCTCAACAACAGAAACCTTCATGTAGACAAATCTAGGGAGGAGTAACGTGGAGTAGAATCCCCCCCCCAGTTTCTAAGGAACCAACTGAAGGCGCCCATATGGTTGGGTGTCTGTCCTTGCATCGTTGCGAACCTCCATGAAAGCTGAAGTTTCTTCTTCACCTGAACCCCGAACCCTAATACTTGGACGATCTCTTGACTTAGTAAGTCTACTTAGTAACAGGGGTTATGGAGCCTATAATAGGGGTTATGGGGTAGACTAGGTATACTTACTAAGTCGAACGATCATCCAAGTACGGTCCTAGGCGTAGGGGTATCTAACCAAACCCACTTGTGCGTCTACTTGAACGTTCATGGGATTTAGTAACAGCTTATACTTGGCCTTATAAACCTATAGCGTTTAGGGTTTAGGGGCAACCTACATAATTCCAGTTAGGGGGGTGCCTAAACCTTACTAGAAGCCCAGTTCTAAGTAGTTGCTAAGTCCCACGAAACTTCAAGTGCTTCACAATGCATCCTGGGCTAGGAAGCTGGTATTCTCAATGCCCTCCCTCCGGGCTTTGGGTTTAGGGTGTCAGGGTGTCAGGGGTTTAGGGTTTTCATGGTTTCATACACGTCAAAACTATACACCTGAAAACCTCACCAATCCAATTTCAAGACCAAACAAAACAAAAACTGGGTTGCTGTTAAGGAACTCAAATTAAGTTACTATATTGAGGAAACCCTATTATTTTCTATATACATATATACCCATTATGGTAACTTAATTTAAGTTCCTTAACAGCAACCCAGAAAAAAAAGAAGAAAAACAAAAAACAGAATCTCTGAAATAAAACGTCATCCCTAAGCCCTGACCGCACTGACGATTGAGTTTTGAACTTCTAGGCACTACTTGGACGATCTCTTGACTTAGTAAGTCTGCTTAGTAACAGGGGTTATGGGGCTCATAAAAAGGTCTATGGGGGATACTAAGTAGACTTACTATGTCAAACGATCATCCAAGTAGACCCTAAACACTGGACTGGATCCTAGACCCTAGACCCTAAACATTAGACCCTAAACCCTAAGCCCGAAACACTACACCCTAAACCGTAAACCCTAAACACTGGACCCGAAACCCTAAACCCTAAACACTAGACCCTAAAGCCTTTACCCTTCATGAAATTCTCAGGGCAAAAGGCCACTTCCCATTTGATGCGGCGGTAGGATGCTACGACGCCCCGAAGGTCTCGATGCCTTTGAAGCCAGCATAGGATCTACTGGGGGTTAGGGGGTTTAGGATTTAAGTTTCCATTCTTATGAGGAAACCTTATTTTTTGCAATATGTCCACATAATGCAAGCTTATCATATTGGTACATGGTTCACATGGGCTAATTTAGGCATTGGCGAGGAAAAAACGTTTAGGGTTTTCAGGTTCAAGGTTTAGGGTTCATAGAGTTTGAGGACTCTATACCTCAATACTTAGAATATTTTTGGGGATTCTAAGCGGTTGCTGGCCTCCACGTAATCACTTGACCCCTGGCCTTTGTTTATGATCTCACCCCCCGTCGGACACCCAGTATATGCTGTGACCAATAGCCCCAAGGAATCCCATATACAATCGCCAAAACCAGTAACAAACACTCCACTATACTTCACATATCCTGACCCTTAAACCCCTATATATGTCCAGTGTCCATGTGATTTTCATTTTGTCCATGTGATCCTCCATTATGGTAATTTATTTTCAGCCCATACCTTAAAGAAATTCTCTTCCTAGAAAATTGCTCAATCAGAACAAACCGCGTAAACCCAACCTCCCCTCAAATGACAAGGAACTTGGACAGTTGTTTAGGAATAATGTTGGCCCTCTACGTCTATAAAAGGGCATGAATCCCAGAGTGAAGGAGGAGTGCAGTAGGCCGAGTACAGGTTGCGGGCTTGCTGAGGACCACTTTCTGTTCTCTGCGGGCCATGAAATTCTGATCTGACGGTCAACTGTAGCGGCACCCAGAGTTGAAAAAACCGTCCGGGGGCATCGTGACCTGAAACCTGCGTGAAGCCTTCAATCCGAAACCCAAAGCAATAAAACCATTAGGGCTCAAGCCCTGAGTCCCAAAACCCAAAACCAAAATCCATTGGTTTAGGGTTTATAGGGTTTAGGGTTTAGGGAACCCTGACGCCCTGAACCCTAGACCCTACGCAAACAGTCTGCGCAAAAAGAAGGCGCGCTACGTGAGGACCACGTACTTTGCCAAGGAGACGAAATCGTCGTAGCCCTGATGCCACTCCTCGGGCGCTAAGGGTTAGGGTTAAGGGTTTTAGGGTTTAGGAGGGTTTAGGGTTTTAGGGTTTAGGGTTTTAGGGTTAGGGTTTAGGGTTTGCAGGTTTAAGCGGGAGTGGGCTCTGGAGGGTTTCGGAGAATATAAGTACAATCATAGAGGTTCTTTAGGGATTATACAAGGATAATTATAGCTATCCACTCCCTCACAACCCCTCAAGCACCAGTAAGCTCAGGGTTTAGCTGGGTTCAAGGTTTGAGGGTTACCTGGGTTTAAGGTTTGCGGTTTAGATTTTGCCTGGATTTAGGGTTTACCTGGGTCTAGGGGTTTACCTGCGTTTAGGCTTTATAAGGGTTGGCCTGGGTTTAGTGTTCAGGGAGGGTACGGGTTTACCTGCGTTTCCGGTTTAGGGTTTACGTGGGTTACTGGTTTGAGGTTACCTGGGTTTAGGGTCTAGATTAGGTTTTACCTGTGACCCCAGTTGCCCACAGCTTAATTGGAGTTACTTGGTACTGTAGTTTGTAGGTGTAACCCATACAGCTGTGGGTATTTTTGTTGACAGGCAGGATGTAGGGGGTCCAGTCAGAGCAGCGAAGCGGCACCCCCGAGATTTTGAGAAACACGCTGCTCAAACCTTCACCCTCTGGAATGCAAATATTGCCCCATCTATCCCGCAAACCATTCAACTCATACGTCTACGAATCACTGGGGAAATTACTACTAGATTGAAGGTGTACTGGGGTTACAAGCAAACCCTCTAAGCCCTTAAATCCTAAGCCCTAGACCCTGATTCCCAAACCCTAAACTCTAAGCCCTAAACCCTGAACTTTAAGCCCTAAACCCTAAAATCTAAGCCCTAATCCCTAAACTCTAAGCCCTGAACCCTAAACTCTAAACCCTGAACCCTAAACAACGCATGATGCAAGGGAGTCGAGCAGCGTGAGTCTTCACGAGAACTACAGCCGGCGGACGAGCGCCAATCCGTTGCTCCAGCTTCTCCTGGGGCTGGTACTCAGATTAAGGATGTGGGTTTAGGGTTTAGGGTCTCCTTGGACCTAGAATAAAAGTAGTAGTTTTATGATTTCCTTAGCGTTGTATTTTAATGAAAATTAAATATAATCCCTAAGGAGACTACAGATTTAAGGATGTGGGTTTAAGCTTAGCTTTCTGGGGGTTAGTAGGGATTAAGGGTATCAAATTAAAATCCCGCTATGACTCCTATGTAAAAACAGAAATTAGATATACATATATATATATATGAAGAAACATAAAATTCCCTGTATGATATGCTAAGAACAAGTAAGTTAGAGTTTCGGTGTAAACTAGAGGTGTATGCGCATGCGAAAGCAGGCTCGCCGTAGCAGCGAGTTCCTGCCGACTCTTGTCTCCAGCAGCACAACTTCTTTCCCAGCTCATACGTAGAGACCTGACCACACCCTCCGACGCGGTAGCCGGCACTCACGAAGCCAACGCCCCCGCTTTAATGAGTGCTCACATC